CCCGTGTCGCCCGTATCAAAAACCGCTACTGCCATTATGTATTCGTGATTTGAATCCTGAGTTGTGCAAAATCCCAGAAATACACCCTAGACAAAGTGATTCTGTGAACTAAGGTGTAGGTCTATTAGGTTATGTTGTGGTGATCCTCGGATTGGGAGATGGGTGTTCATACTGGAGGGCAAGATTAAATCCAATGGAAGGTGGACACGATAAGTTCAAAGCCATCAGGTGCTCAGTTTAGAAAAAAGAGAAAAGAAGAGGAGGAGAAACGAGCACAAGATACAGGTAAGCAGATGTGTCAATGGCAGGTCATCCTGAAACAATCAGAATCAGAACACTTTATTAATCCCTAAGGAAATTATGTGAGTTACAGTTGGTCCAAGAAGAAATTGTAAAAATAGTAACAGTAACAGACTAAACTCCAAACAATACCTCATGTTACAGATTTTACACATTTAAGAAATAACACTAATACATACAGATCACTCATTTATAAATATCAAGAATTAACAGAGGTGATTATAAATAAATATCAATAAAATTGAAAAGAAAATTACAGAGTAGAAAAGAGTGTGTGTAAAAAAGGATGTAACTATTGCAGCAGTGTATTAGATTGTACAGGGAGATGGCCATGGGTAGGAATGACTTCCTGAGTCGTTCAGTGGGGCTTTTTGGTAATCTCAGTTTCTCACTGAACGTGCTTCTGTGACTAGCCGGCATGTTGTGGAGTGGGTGGGAGGTATTATCCAACATTGTCCTTATCCTGGACAACATCTGGCTCTCAGACACCCTAACTGAGTCCAGCTTCATCCCCACAACATTACTGGTCTTGTGGATCTGTTTATTTTGTCTGTTAGTGTCTGTGACCCTCAACTTGCTGCCCCAGCATGCCAGAGGGAATGTTCACCCATGGCACAAAACAGGCTAGGACCACCCCTGTGGACAGACACTAGAGTCTAAAGAGAGTTTTGCTTGTTCCAAACTGTTGTAGTTTACCAGTTACTGAGGCCACTATACTCCTGGCAATGCTCCAAGCTTAGATGCCCCCGATCTTTGGTTCAATGTAATATAATTTGGAGGTTTACAGGTAGTCTTTGGACTTATTAGCTCTCTTTTTCCCTGCACTGTAAATTTTGGGACATTATATAAATTGGTTTGTGCTTTTCCCAATCAGCCAACCAAATCAAATGACTGAATTTGACTGGAATTGGCAAATGAGATGTTTTAGAGTAATATTAACCTTGAAAAAAATACCCAGTTAAACTCCTAATGTTATAAATTAACTGTTTCTGGTTTATTTCTCTTTGGGTATTTTATGATCCATGCTCATGTTTTAAATATATATCTTCTTTGTATGAATTCTCTCTTCCCATCAGCTAACAGGTATCATGGGCTGATAAACCAAGGATCCACATGTTACTTGAACAGTGTGCTGCAGGTGCTATTCAGGACCAAAGACTTCAGAGAGGCTGTGAAAAAGTTTGTTGTCCAGCTTGAAGTGTGATTCTGTATTTATCATATATGAAGTTTACTGTGCATTTGTTCACTCATGTTTACTTCTTGTGTAGGTCTGGAGAAAATCCCCACTCTGAATTCCTTGATCATGATTTGAAAGCCTTATTTGATGACTTGCAGAACTATACAGCATACACATATAAAATAACAAACAAGCTGGGCATCGACAACGGTACAGAACAACAAAACCTTTTTCACACTGTAAACTCCTGAGCACTGTATAACTTTAAAATAATTAAAAATAATGCATAATTAAAAATAATTATTAAAATATTATAACAATGGAAAATTGTAGGGTAAAATTACAAAATTACTTATTTTAAAAAATAATAATAATATGCATTTGTCACAGTGAATGAACAGCGTGATGCTGCAGAGTACTTTGAGAGGATTTTAAGAATGACCAGCACTGATGCATCAAAGGTAAGGTCCTCATCGATGCTAAAGGATATCTATATCTATACACTGGATCAAAATATCCTTTTTTAATTGTGGAGTCTTTGCCTTAGAGTATAAAATGCATTGAACAACTTTTGTTGTGAACAAATACTTTCTAATTATAATTGAAAGAAAATGAACAGATTTTTGTGCATCTGTATTTTCAGATCTTTCACGGTCAGTTAGTAAACAAAACCACCTGCTCTAAAGGTCATATACAGACTGACAGAGATGCACCATTTTGGTATCTTCCTCTTTCACTGGTGGATTGTTCCAGTGAAGACTACAGTGTGGTAAGGATCTGACAAGTTGCAAACTTCTCAGCATGTTCTGTCTGCCAGGACATGACAGCTGTGAGAAATTGTTTTGACCTTGCATGCTTTTGTCAATTACAGATATATAATATTTTCCTATTTTCAGTAAATAATAACTGTTTTACTTTCATTTTATCCACTTTCTATAAAAAACACAACACTCATTTTTTTCACTGCATAAAATGTGTTACACTTTATCACTTTGTTACTATTTTAGTATACATCATTTACACATCATTATTGCATAAATCAAATGGTTTCTTTGTGGAAGAGTACTGACATGATAATTCCTGTAGCTACAGTGCTATAAAAATGAAATAGTTGTTGAACCATGTTAAGTACCATGGCCTAAGTACAGATTTCATTATAAAACCTAAAACCTATAAAATAACTTTTGGGGTGTCTAAATGATTGATTTAGGACTGCTTTATTTAATTTAAAAATACACAATTTATCTAGTTTTGCCTTTGTACATCACCACAGTGGGTCAAACAATCCATGTGACTGAAGTTCACACTTTAGGTTTTAATTCAGGGGATTAAAATTCAAATCCATCAGTGTCAGGAAAATATTTGGCTTTGCTTAAGTGGATTCTGTGTCGCGCTTTGTCTCACCAGGAGTCTGAATGATTCCCAAATAAATAAAATAAAATGTAAATCAATGTGCCAAATAGTTTGATTTTTAAAATCTAGACAGT